ATTTTAAAGCAACATGTAGTGGTTTGACAGAAACATGACCTTTACCTCACGGAGACAGGGTTTTTTGGATGAGGCAAAGCATATTCACCCAGATCCAGGGACTACTGAAAAGTGCAAGTTGCAGACACTTACGTATCTTATACTCCTACAAAATAGTGCACAGACTTTTCTCAACAAGATGATCTATCACAAAACTAAGTTCCTCGTTTCTGATTTTCTTCTCAGCAGCAAGGGAATGTAGTGAGTTACTACAGCCAAGGATAGACTGCAAGCACCAAGGATAGACTGCAAGATATTCAAAGCTAAGTTCAAGATCACAGAAAGAATGAAGGATTATTACAAACCCCATTGAGGGCCCACTCTAAGTGCAAGGTGAACACTCTTGATACTAACCTGTCTTTCTAAGATAGACAGTACAAAAATGTGTGTTTCAAAGTATGTCAAAAAACTTTACAAAAACTAGCCACTCTTCACTACATCTGCATATCCCTCTGCATACAGCTCGATGAAACTCAAGCACAGCAGAGGTTTTGGTCACATAAACTAAAGCACCATTGGAAGTTGAAACACTAGAATGATACTGAATAAGGGAATAATATAAATAATTACACAATTCTAAATAGTTAACACAATAATATAAAACATTATTGCACTCCCTTGAACAGTAAGCTTAGCCTGCCTCATCGGCTCCCACCACTATGAGAGGCTGTAAATTGTCACCTGAGCACTGAGCTACAAGTCTGAGTTAAAAACAAAAGGAAAAAAGGAAGGCAGGCCTGATGGACCCAGTAAGAGCTAGTGTTTGCCATAAGCACTCTCATCCTGCTATCATCCTGAATAGAAGAAGATGCCTTTGCCTAGGTATGGAGCTGACCAAAGGCAAACAGAGGAAGTGCAGGTGTCTCATAGGAGGTTTCCTGTTGTTGGTAGACAGGAAGAAAGGCACTTTGTAGGAGAGGAGAGTGGTGAGGGGTGACGCTACTATATTTCAGGTGAGAATCGTACTCTCAGTTTCTCTGGAGGATCTGATGACCTTTACAGAACCACTAATACTCATCATAACACTGAAGCAGAAGTTTCAACCATAAAGCATATTAATATAATTTTCCTTTTTGTGAAATCAAGAATAATATCTGCTTACAACTTTGCTATGTGGTTGTGCAAGACATACAAGTGTGTGGTAAAGCTAATCACAATATTAGAGAGAGAGCTCTCTCGTTATTAGAAACCAGATCCAAATATTTCTAATGCATATCTCCATCACATAAGCACGCAGACACACACACAAAAAGAAATCTAAAGGCAAACATTCCTATATATTGTCCTGCAAGAAAACTGCCTTAGAGCTGTTTCCTGTTACCGAAAGAAAGGACTATAAAAATGAAGGAACTCCTGATCTTAGGCTGCTATTTCCACCTCATATGACCTTAATTTTATGGAAGTTGTACCCTTGTGTTATTCAGATTTTACTCATAAAATATAGACAGAGGCAGTGGATAGGCATCAGGGAACAATCAAGAAAAATGTAAAATTCCTTTGAACAGTAAAGAAAAATGTTGTTAAAATGATTAATTTTTACATATGTGTAAGGAAAAGCCATTTGCTGTAGTGGAGATAAGATCCTTTTTTCTTTCTTTTCTTTTTTCCCTTTCAAAAGAAGACAAGTTCTTGGAGCACTAGGAAGCCATAGCAAATATACAGTTTTACTTTCCTTATGTACTTTTCCAGTTACAACCTAGAAAAAAGATTAGGTACTAAAGACTATTTTATAAAGTAGAAATATATATCTACCTATTAATTATAACCTTACTCTGAACTTTTGCAAGTACCTCTCTGTGCATCCTACTTTTAGGGAAGCCTTAAGCTACAGCAGAGAGCCAGTGGGTCTGATAAATATCCCATTACTACCTGTAAGTCCTTCAAATGTTTGCAAGCATTCAAGTTTAGTTCAACTTAATTTCCTAAAACAGCATGTTCAGCATTTGTAAACTGAAGATGGATATTGAAAAGCAATTGAATACATATGAGAGGGTCACTCAGATGAGACATGCTACCACAGGAGAAAAACAGTAATGGTCATAGAAATGGAAAAAGAAATGTAACCATTAGCAGTTCACAGCCTAATCAAAGTAAGTGCCAAGGTGATCTTAATTGTCTATTTAGAGATATCACTACACAAATGGGTTGCAATTTTCAAAATTTCTGCAGGATACATTGAATCTTTTCCCTTTTCTGAAGTGACAAAAGCATTCAATTCCAAATTTTTCAAACCAGCCAGACTCCATGAAGGATGGAGCTATGTCCTCCCATTCATTGGCACAGGTTCCCCTCACACTATTAGGAAACGACTGCCTCCTGAGGTCACTGGTTCAGAGCAAGGCCCCTTAAAAGCATTCTTCCTAAGGAAATCCCCTCACCTTCAGTTAAGAGTATTTTTTTAAATGTTCTTTCTCTTAAAGCATTAGTCAAAAGGCTATGGGAAACTGTACATCTTTGTGGCTTTTATTAACTTATTTCCTTTACAGCAATACGCTGTAAAACCAGTAGTGAGATTCTTTTTAAACTCAAGTGTTACTGTGGGGCCTTCAGCAACCTCATGGTCCTTTTCAGTGCTCCATAACCACCATATCTCAAGATACAACCACCACCTCCCGTAGCTTAATATTGAAGACAATCTGCTTTTAAAAGTAGGGTGGTTTTTTTGCATTCCTAGACAGCCTATAGTACAACTGGAATTGCTGGGTTCTGTTTAAATGACAGATAAAACCAGAAATGGACAAGTGAAAAAAAAAAAAAAAATTGCCAGGTGGACTTCCAGAGTCCAAAAGCAGCAGAGAATAAATTGTCTCACCTAGCACTGAGTACAGAGGCAGCTGTCAGCAGCAGAATGGGGGAGTCTGGATTACAGCCAGTAGCATCTCTCAAGTAAACTCTGAAAATAAGGAAGGAAATCCAGAGCTGAAAGGGGGAGCAAAGTAAGTGTTCAGAGACTACACCTGGATTGCCTGCATATCTCTGCAGACACGAGAAGGCAGGACCAAAGGCTACTGCAAATTAAAATTTCCATCTCCTGTGTGCACACACAGAGGTTTGAAATGTGATGAAAACTCCAGTATGACAGAGCGTTGCAGCAGTCACTCCAGATTAAAAAAAAAAGTGATAGACCATGGTTTCAGAAGACTGCAGCGTAAAGCAACAGGGGCTAAACCAACAGTAATACAGATATGAAGACAGTCAGATTTATAATGGAAGAAGGAAATTCAAAGCAATCTTCCACGCCTGAAAGAAACATTTTAAAAGCAATTCAATTTTGAATCCATCATGAACATGCACACACACAAAACAAAAGGCCAAAACAGAGTGTGCTTCTTGCTGAACAAATCTTAATATTCATTATTGGGAACACACAAACTATTATGGTTTGGGGTTGGTTTTGTTTTGGTGGGGTTTTTTGTACAGAACTTCAGAGATACATAACTGCTGAATAATATTTTCAGTTTGAGATTGTTTTTGATCTATTAAACTCTTAAGCTGCTTACTTCTTACTGGAATTGGCATTAATCCCCAATTTAATAAACAAAACTAGCAACAACATTGCTTGCTTACCCTATAACTCCCCCAAACCTTTCTCTGTTTTAAACTACAACCTACGCAATGGAACAGGATCATATTTTAGCAATAATACAATTTTATAGTTGGAATCCCCTTCAGTTTGAAGCAAACAGCAGCAGTGACTCATTACAAAGCATTTAAAAAAGGGGATTTCCTACCAAACTAAAACACCAAAGAACATAACAGAAAACAAAAATCAGCTAAGATGACAGCAAAGAGGGACCCCAAGGATCCACTAAGGAGGCAATACTATTACAGAATAAAAGTAATAGCTTTTATTTCAGCTAGAGGTGTGTGATCCAAACTGGATTTGTTATTCTAAAACTGAAACTATAAGGCATGCTGAAATGTGAGCCTTAGCTCTGAAACCCAGCTGAGCCAACGCAAGGCTGCTTTCATCAGTCAGCAGTGGTTTTGTAGTTTTCGCTTCATCCTAGATTCTGGCAGAGGGAGAACCCTTGTACGCATCACCTACAATAGTGTATCTGACACAGAATGAGGCTTCGGTTTAACTATTTCACAAGACAATAGAGAAAAACGTTATCAAGCAGCAAGCCATTACCCAATACCTGGGCTCATTCCATGAGTCAGAGTGGAGCAGTCTACTGCTTTCAGTAAATATGAAGGTCATTTTTGCAATTACTGTTTCTAGTAAAGATAAACTCCCACACACAGTGAAAGCAGGAGGATGGTTACAAACTGTGTGGGATGTTTCATATGTAGGCTGTACCAACGGGGGACGCCTTCTGCCTCGAATACAAATGCCAGCAATTAGGATTTTTAGTAACCGGGTGACTGCCTAATGTGTGAGGTTCTCATGGAGCACTGACACACCAGTTTGTTCACAGTGGTTTCATGTTATTAGGGGCGAAGATTGGCAGGCAGAGGATAAAACCAGCATTGCTCTGCCACTGAACAACGGTGCTACCTCACCAATCACACACAAGAAAATTGCATAGATTAATGTTCATACTGCTCTCTGTTCTCCAACAAAAGATATTACTGCTGACTGAGTATAGTTGTATTTAGGTATCATCTCTGTACTAAGTTTAGCTACACAAGTTCTATTTCTTCACTACAGAGAGATGGCAGCAGGAGGCAATACCAGAAAGTCAATCTGTCTTCTGCCACCTACCTGCGCTGTTAGCACAAAACCAAAACATCATGAAACAGAGGAACAAATCAAATCTCTCACTTTCAAATGCCAGGCATGGAAAGCAAGAGGTAAGCAGGCAGTGTGAATAGATGTTAATTAAAAGGAAAGCAACATGACGTATCAAACAGCTTCATTTCTCCACAGCAGCTGCTGTAGGAGAACTGGCCAGCACTTCCACCAACTTGCTTGTGAAATGTTAATGAGTACAAAAATTAGAAGAGGTCAAACTCACCCCTTTGTGAAACTGTGATTCTTTCATAGCAGAGTTTTGTGGATGGCTTTTTATTACAACAGGTCCTCTGGACTGACTTCTAGATTCAGGTATTAGAGACCCCTTTTTGCTTTTCTCAGGCTCAGATGGCCCAACGCTTGCATCTAAAGAAAAGACATGGAAACAAAGAAAACTATCAATGGAATCAAGGACATCAATTAAAGGACTAATCACACAATCCCACAGAAGCAAAGAGGCCTGGGGTGGCTAAAGAAGGGAGGGAGAGAATACCAGAAGGAAAGGCTGTTTAGACAAAGCAAAAAAAAAATAATCAGTACAGCTGTGCTTTGCTGGAAGAGAAGCCACAGCATCTTCTTGAAGTCTCTGATTCTTTCTTCTCAGTCATTAAAAGAGGGAAGCTGCTGGAGATCAGGCTTTTGTTAGTGTAAGAGCTTGTTTTGGCCTCTTTTAGCCTGCTCAGTCTCGCCTGCTCTGTTCCTCTGACCGGGGCAAGGCAGCAGGCCGAGATGCCAGATGGGTGAAGCTGCAGCCAGTGTATAACTTTGAGGACACAACAGAGATCGATTTCATAAGTGGTGCTGTACAGAGGACTTCAGTTATCGCTAGACTTTGCGCTTTTCACAAAATGAGAGTGAGCAACAGGGAACAGGTCTTCCACACATCTAGCCAAAATAGTTACTCCAGTACCACTGGAGTAAAAGGTCCCCAAAATCAGTAGGCAGAAATCACCAGAAAGTTCTAAAAAGTGAACTCATAGACAGTGAGATGTTGATTAAAGCTGTTTAAATTCTCAGTTTTGAACAAAATAATTTTTAATTGCTTAGGATTTTTTTTCCCTATGTTTTTCCTTTACCAGATAGAACAACGAACTATGTACTGAGTCCAGCTAAATCATGTCAATACAATTTATTCTCAACAATTCTATTTCTAAGTGCTTCACTCTAAAGTGAATCTAAATACATTTATTTTGAAAAGTTACAATTTATTTCTAAATAATACTATGTATACACACACACAGAGTAAAGCCTCAATGGACTAAGGAAGAGCAAATTCAACATTATGAAGTCTGTCTCTATAGCTTGTTTTTAACGTGTTTCTGGGAAGCAGTGAATTCCGATTCATGACATCCATGAGGTTGTTTCTCAGAAAAAGGTGATAATCAAACCAGCAGACTGAATTGACTGAATACTAGATACACATTCACTAGTGCGTGTATTTGTTTAACATCTAAATATAAAATATACCATTCACTACAGAAATCAATATAATTTTGCCCCTTGTATTTTTAGTTCCACTAATTACCCCAGTGATGTCATAAATTAAGTGTTAAAAAGGAATTCTGCTAGTCTTCAATCCCCCTATTGTGCTCTTTTTCTCATGTCCTTATTTAGCATCACCAGCTATTTTTACTGTACTTTTAACGTGTAAAACAAATAACTGGAGGGATCAACCCTTTAACAGGTTTTCACAGTTTGCAGCAGTTTTCAGAGCTATACTGAAGACAACATCTAAGTTATTATCAAAGCACTGCAAGAAAAGAAAATTAATTTTGAAAGATATTTCCTTTACAGAAAATGTTAGCATTTATTAAAGAGATGATATGTAACAATAATCTCAGCGAGACCATTTCCTGTAGGTCCTGAATGAATTACATCACTCTATTATTTTCTGGTATTAACTATGAGCCAGATACTGAGTTTTTCGTCACCCAACTCAAATGAGTCTTACATAATGAAGCTAAGTCTTGCTACACCAAAGCAGAGGCCAACAAATTGTGAATAAAAAAAGAATACCACAAACCTTAATACCAAATTACCCAGAAAGAACAGCAGAGAGCAGAAAAATGTTCTCTGTGTTTAAGAAAAGCAAACGAAGCAGAAATCTGGGAGGAATGTTCAGTGAAACCACAGTATCCCCCTTATTATTTTATTATCATAATTCATCTTATTGTTTAATAACAGTCATATTTTGTTTTAAAGAAGGTCTTAGATATTTTCTTGTTGTATGCAGGTATGCCACAATCGCACAGGACTTCACTATTTCTGGGGTGCAACAGACTTGGCTCCGTAAAATACTTATTTTCTCAAATATTAGCACACAAAGGAAGTAACAACTGTTTTTACCACTCACCTTGTTCTCTCTGCTGCCCAGGTTTGCCACATAAGCTGTGCCCACTCAGAATTTGAGCACCTTTGCGAATGGTCTTCTCCTCTTCCCCTACTCTTCATCTATCCCGCATCTACAGTGTGGTCTTGAACTCACTGAACTGAGAGGTAAAGTTCACTATTACCCTCACTGGAGCAGAAACAAGCAGCTCTTACTTTTCATATCACTCACATGCCCTGCAGAGGAAAAGGGCAACTTTCAACTCATGGCCTTCTAGAATATGGATTTAAGACTACTGCTAGTCCTCAAAATCTAAGAAGATTAAATTGTGATAGTTATTATTTTTAAAGCTGCCGAGCTACTAGATTTTATACCTGAGGAAATGAAAAGAAAGTTGCTCTTCCTTGGTGCAGTAGAAGACAAGGAAAAAAAATTGAAGAAGCATGCCAAAGCGCTTTGAACAGCCAAATGTGTCTTCATCTACTCTTCTTTTTTTTTTTTGTACTGGTCTGTATTGTGTTTAATGTTTCAAGGAAAAAAATAAGCTTCTGTGTCAGTCCACAGGACCCACTTATTTTTAGGTCCTCCATTTACCTCCATTGCTCTTTGCTGAGAATAAGTCATTAGAAGGTCAGTCTAATTTGAAGTCCCGTTGAATTAGTAGCTGGGGCTGCATTGCAAAGTTGTTTCAAATGACCTTATCCTTTCATCTTAGGAAAAAAAGTACAACTCTGTGCCAAAAATCAAAAGGCAGGAGTCTGTTTACAGAGTTTCCACTTTGAGTGCTATTTGTGAAAGAGCAGTTAAATGTCTTGGTACATTTTTTTGTTCCAGGGAGCAGGACTGAGGGTCTGATTGTATAATCAAAGAATTCAGCAAGAACACTAATTATTTTCAGTTGCTCTATAAAGAGTATTGTGTATGCTCTTAGCCTAAAATCCCAGGGAAACAGTTAATCTACTTAAAATCTTAGCAGTCTAACCAAAACATAAGTTGTTATTATTAGTTCACTTACATTTATGGTTAATAATGCAGTTAAGACTTACATATACAATCTTCCCAGTATTCTTTTTTTCTCTGGAGTTATATTCAGTCTTTCAACATCTGTCTGGTTCCTGACAGGCAAGAGCATCAGCATCAGTCTTCATCATGCTGAAGCAGCAGAGGGGTATGGCAGCTTATCAGCAGCATCCCAAGTTCCTCACTGGAAGGAGTTCACCAGTGGTGTTGGGGGTCCCTCTGGGTTATATCTAGGTTTTCTTAAGACAGACAGCTCACTCTTACTCACCTACTAGTTTAAGTTTGAAAATTACTACACAGTCCACTCCATCCCCAATTAACTTAAAGGATTAATATTTGTTCAATTATTACATCTAGGTTCTCAGATATTTATATAAATAGATTTTACAGAGCAAAGCTCATACATGTTAGGGATAAATAATTGCTATTAAGCAACATCCATAGCAAAAGCTAGCTCAAGGCCAGACAAGCCCTGAGACGCTCCATTGTCAGGCCAGTACAACTATAGCCTTTTACTACCAACAGCAAAAGCCCTACTTACCAGGCTACAGAGTCTGCATCTGAACTGCCTCTGTAACAACAGAAAAATGTTAATAACAAGACAATTTACCCAGCACAGTCCTCGAGCATGCCAACCTGCTAAGCCTTCTGGAAGGCCCAAGTACAAGATCAGACCATTTAAGAGACAAGCAAGTCCCTAAGTGCCTGCACAGACATTGTCAGGGCATAATGAATTGCACAGTCCTGACTAATTCCTGAGGAAACTCAAATCCATGTCTGGACTGTAGGACTAAACATAAACTTTTTGATCTAAGTAATATTATATGTTGAGGAAAATGGAGAATTCACTTTGATGATGTTTAAGGATAATAGAGAAAGCACTTTGATGATGTTTAGTGATGCCTTGAGGAGGTAGTATCAGACTTTAAACTGAATGGGCTAAAAAATAAAAAACCAACATGCAAGTATGTCAGCTTTGTTTTCATCCAAAGGCAGGTACATGTGGCTGCCTCCTTCTAGCACTCTAATTAAAAAGGTATAAAATGAGACATTATGCTGAAGTTAAAGCATAAATTATTCCAAGAGGCAACAGTAGAGAATATCAACAACAATGAAATCTGTAAGATTGGGAAAAAATAGTCTAACATTTTTTTGCTTGTAATGCATAAAGAAATGGAATCTCTGTATCAATGAAAATCCTAAGAATTGCTAGATTTCTGCTTAGCCCTTTGATTAACTCCTTATTAAAACAATTTGCTTTGTCAGTTCTGAAATCTCAGTTTTAAACCTGAAGGTTTGTCTCAAAGTAGTAATTCCAGAAAATGCATTGAAGGAAAATCTTACCATCACCATAAAATCTGACAACAGAAGTGTCATCTTTCAGTTCTCTCCTGTCCTTAGTTGCCAAATAGCATCTTCGATATTGTTGTCTGTTTCATCCTGTCTACTAACTACAAGCTACAAAGACAATCCTGAAAAAATGACAGATTTGTGCAGAAGTTTAACCATATCCCTTGTGGAGTATTTGGGCAACTTTTTGCCCAACAGCCCTTTCAGTTTCTTTCCTCCAAAATGAGTTATAGACGATTCTGCAAAACATCCCACAAGGTGTCACTAAAGATGCATCAGCCAAAATCCTCCTCAAACACTCTCCCCTGTCTTTGCTTCCCCTTCCTGTGAAGCGTGTTACAGACAGCTTTGAAAACATGAAGAAGAGTTAACATCTGGGCAGAAGCGTGCTTACTTGTGCAGCGCTATCCTTTAAGTTGCAGCCTATTAAGGAGCTGAGTAATTTGAACAGTGAATGAACTAAGTACATACACGTTGATTGGAAACATAGTCAATTTTAGGCTTAACTTCTAATGAACTGGCTCAAAAAATTTGCTTCAAGCTTTGCATTACATATTTTACATATCATGTATTTACGTACTGCACAGTGGGAGTCAGCAGAAGATTCATCACCCCCCTTTTCAGACTCCTAACACAAAATAAGGCACAAAATCAACCGCCAGCTCTGCCTCAGTTCCATGGTAATACCAGAAAAGACGTTTGTTTCATTTTATTTTATTTTAATCGTTCATAGTTTTATACCCATCTTTTATCAATCACACCTATCCCTGAAAGCTACACAGATGTTTTGCAAGTTTCTGTTATTGTCAGATATGATGGCATGACAGTATCCTCATTTACAGTTATGCTTAAGGCCCTTTCTGTTGAACACTGTATGAACCAAATATGTTTTCAAAACTACTGTATTGCATAAAAAGATTATTCTCCCTTCCACCTCCCCCATATTTCCCTTTTTTGAAACAAAACAAATAAACAAAAAAAAATCACATCTAACTGGAGTTAAGTGTTAATTAACATTTCAAAACCACCTTTAACACTAAGCTCTCAAGTAGAAAATATATTTTGGTGCCTAATTTTTCCTAGTCTCTGAAAAAATCAGTATGATTTACAGCCTTAGTAGATGACATACTTACTCACAGATGAACAGTGCAAAGGCACTGACCTAGCACTCACTTCCTCCAAAAAGACTTAAGTACACCAGGTGTAACGACTTACATTGCTTATTGCGTAGCAGCCAGTGCACTGTAGTTAATTGCTGCAGAAATTAGGCAAATCACTCCACCCCTGTGCTACATGTCAGCTTCCAAAGAAAGCCCCACATGATGCAGGCAGCCAAGTCCTATGTGCCCGTGTTGTAATCCATAGGACAGACCTACACTGATTCATTTTAAGCTTTTAAGCTATAAGCTCTTCCATATTTCTTTTATAGAATCCCTTAAATGATCACTTCCCCCTTATTTCATTATTCATGAGAAGCAAGAAAGCCAAGACAATCCATCAAATCTTTGCAAAACAATAGCAGGCAATGTAACTGCTAATGAACCTTGTCCTTGCTACACAAACCAGTCTGAACAAGAAGTCCCTCAACAAGAATGAAACTGCGTTGGGGGGGCTGGCCATTTTGTCATCACAAAACACCTAAAATAAGAATTAGGGTTTTGGATTCATGCTTCAGGCTTAAGTCTACTAAAAAGTCATAGTCTGTCCTTGCAGATCCTGACATAAAAGATTGTGCCAGGAAAACATCTCTAAAAGGTCCTATCTGAACAGCCAAGTTTGCCCTCCAGAGGGACTCATACAGCTTATGGCAATGGTTCAGCAAGTATTTTGTGCAAAGAAGAGCCTGAAGAAACAGCAGAAGGTAAGGTCCTTGTGGCATGTCTGATGTTTCTGGCTTAGAAAACTTATCAAATCTTCCCAAAAACATCATCCTCAGCAATAAAGAGTGGAGAGGGGGGAAAGGGGGAAGTGATTGATCAGCTGTGTGGGTGCGTAGCTGCTGGCCAGCCACAAAAGGCTTATGTGACAGAACTGGAAGTGTTACCTGCTGCATTTATGCTTACATCAATGACTGAAGAAAAGAGTGGGAGGAAAGCTAAAAAAAGGACACTTCCAGAGCTCCCCTCAGACTATTTTTGAGGCTGAAGAGACTTTCCAGATAGGAGCAAAGAGTTCAGATCAGCTGAGAAAAGACTTGTGAGCGCTCCTGCTGGGAGCCTCCTCACTCTCTGCAGGTAGTTCCACTCCAAGAAACCGCCACACTCGCTGGCACTAAGTCCCATCAAAGACAAATATAATTAAAGAAAAATCTACATCTATGCATAGCCTTTAAAATCAAATAATTTTAAACGCCATTAGAAATTTTACGTAGAAAGGACTTCTGCTGCTAAATGGAACAGGAAAAAAGAAAACCAAATTTAAAAGTCTCCACTTACATTCAGAATATAGCTGTATCTAGTTTATATATGGGAAATAGGAGGGCTTTGTGCGCCAGCCTTCTTACAGGCCAAATACTGGATTCATGGGACAAAAAGTCTGGGATATAAAATATATATACACACATCGATATAATATAGAGACTATTTAATAACAAGTATAGCACATATATGATATTGGGTCTATTTACCCACTGCAGAGTTAATAGAAAATGTGACCATGGTCTCGGGTGGAATTAAATTGTTTTATGTGGTTGATTTGTACATTATAACCATGATAGCAGCAGTAACAGCCTATAACATATCCAAATACAAAAC